GAACTTTTCGATCAACCTGATCAAACAAAAAAAAGAAAAACAATAATTAGATATAAAATAAAAAATAAAAATTAAAATAAAACAAAAAAAAAAGAAAAACCAGATAAGAAAACAATCTTATTGTTGTTTCTTCTTTTTCTTCTTATTGTTGACGGACGAGTCGACGCCCCATAAATCGTACCATGGACCGCAAACGTTCTTGTCCCTTTCCCGATCTGAATCACGTCTTAATTTGGTCCTCGGTAATAGGGTCTTTTCTGCAACCGTTTGATCTTTGACGACGATACAACTGTAAGTGGATTCCTCATCGGAAGCTTCAGTTTCACTGAAATTTCGTATAAGACCATTGTCGTTATCATTCCCATAACTTTTCTGTCCTCTCCTTTCATTTCTCTTAGCTTCGTTGTTTTCTTTAAGCTCAGCAACGATCATATTTCTTTTAGCTTCCAGACTACGTTTACGTTCCTTTTCTATGATGGCTTTTCTTGAAACATTTCCAACAAAGTATGCCCTTTCTTCTTGGTGCATTCGATATTCCGATCTTTCGATAACCTTAGGTCTTTCAGCGGGGGTTGGAAAATCATCGAAATAATCATTTTTATCTGGTACGTGAATCCTCTCAGCTGGTTTCGGTTCTTCTTGACTGGATTGATCATTGGTTAGGGTAACATCGCTGTCACGTTTTTCAAGACTTTGCCTGGACATTGGACTACCTTCAGAACTTTGTTTATTAGAATGTGATTTTTCCAAAGTATTAGATTTATCATCGTTCATTTCTTTTTTAATCATTTTCGGTATATCCACCAATGAACGGTGTTGCCATAATGCCATTCCTTCCAACACATCGGAATCTCTACGAAATCTCCAAAATGATTTAGTTCTTTTAACCAATTTAGGACTCTTCGTGTCCACTTCAAACGATCTTCCTGTTTGTATCAAATGACCAACCGCAGTAGTTTGTCGTGGTAACAATGGTCTTCTATCATCCTTCAATGTATTATTATTATTATCATTTCTTTCCAAAGTATTTGCTCCATTTCTATCAACCCGTTGATGATTACTTTGTTGTTGAGCTAAAGTAGTTTGATAACCGTGTCTCTCAATAACTTTAGTTCTTTCCAATTTGGTCTCAAAATTCGACTCGTAACCACGTTCCTTTTCTAGGGAAATTGGATCTCTCATGAATCTACCAGTTTCACCATAAATAGCTTCCTCTTTGTCGGAATAACAACGATCACGATAAAAATTGTTCGAACGTACAATATCGGTGGTTGTTGTTGGTCTCTCGGGTGCTTCCTCAGATGGTGGTCTTGGTCTTTCAAAACGACGACCAGATGAACGTTCTATGTTTCTATTTCTGTCAGGATTTTTCTCAAATGTTCTTTCTCTTTCATAAGTCGAATTACTTTTAGCCGATATGCCGGACGATTTATCGAAATAACGTTCCCTTTCTTTTTCCAATCTTTGAGCCATACGACGATTCCTGTCACGTTCGTTGTTATTATTATTATACCTGTCATAACTGTTCTGATGTTGTTGCTGTTGTTGTTGTTGTTGTTGTTTGTCCTCCCTGTTATTACGTTCCAAACTTTTATAATCATGTCTTCTTTCAATAAATTTTGGTGGGCTATGTTCACGCGCATACTTTTGAGCAGTTTGTTCTAACTTTTGTGCAATATGTTCAACCTTTCTACCAGTTTCTGGTACAGTTATAGTACTCTCATCGTCACTATCGGATGATGTGCTTGACGATGTCTTTTCATTCTCGTATTTCGAATCATCTGTTTCCAATGAGCGATAACCACCTCCACCACCACCACGACGAGAATTACGATCTTGATTATCGATTCTATCGTCGTAATATTTTTTCTGATAATCAACACCAGAATTGTATGGGTCATCTTCATCATCGTCCAAATCCAACTCGTCTTCCTCAGTTTCTTCTTGTTCCTTGTTATTGTTGTTGTTGTTAGATCGTTTGTTGGAATTGTCGCGACGTAAACTTGATTGATTCGTTTGTTCATTATTATTATTATTATTATTATTATTATTATTATTATTATTGTTGTTTCTACGATTAGAATTTCTTGATAAAGAATTATCATCGGAATATTTGTTACGATGATTAGGATTTGGTCGATTTAATAAACGTGATGACGATGATTCGTAATCGTTCTTTTGAATTTTATCTTGCGTTTTTTTATCACGTTTACCTGTGTTAATCGATTGACCATTTTCCATAGTACCACGATTAGAATAATCCCGTGTGTTGTTCTGTCGATCCTGAGTGTTATCGTAACGTCGATTACCACTACTACCACCACCACCACCACCACCGTTGTTGGAATATCTACCAGATATTGGTTCATCGTTTTCATTGTTTTGATTAACGTTGGATTCAGCCCACAAGTCCATTGCAGTTCTATAAAGTTGCCAGCTCTTTTCTTCCCTGGTTATTGTTTTCCACGAATCGTTTTCCCAATTTTTATCGTTGCAACTTTTCTGATCATCCTTCGATTGTTGTTGTTGTTGTTGTTTCCCAGACTCGTTGGCTCTTTCTGGACGTCCCTTTCTTCGACGTTGTCTGTTTTATCGTTCAGGCTCAGGATGAGTAAATAATGAAATGTACGAATGGAAAGAAAGAGAAGAGAAAGAAAGAAAGACAAGATGAAACTACGTGATGATAGGCAAAAGAGGATAAACCTTAGAGAACCAAAATGTGATATGTGATTGGTTGATACTCTGTACAGCTTGCAATTGTGATAAAAAAAAAAAAGGTTGTGCGTGTAGGGGGTGAGGAGGGGGGGGGGAAATAATCGTGTCCCTGGGGTTTGTTTGTTCGTAGCATAGGATCCAAAATAAAAGTGTGTGAGCCATCACCACGTCGGGGGGTTTTTTTTTTAGTTCCATCGACCACGATAACGCATGCGGAATCTACAAAGAAGGAGAGAAAACGTCATAGCAAGTCAAAAGAAAAGCTTAGTCTCTGTTAAACGTACCGCAGGTGACAAACAGGGGGTAGTACCGTGTTCCTCTCTCATTGTTAATCTTCTAGGTACTCTTTTTATTTGCTTGTTTGTTTGTTTGTTTTTTTTTTGTTTTTTTATATTTGGCCTGATCGAGTGAGTTGAAGGGAAGGGGGTTGAGAAGAGTATCTTAATGACGGCTACGTCAGAAAAACGTAGCAATAAAGAGATCTATGGTGTCTCTATTAGCGTAAATACCAAATACCAAGTAATAGCAATAATAATAATAATAATAATAATAATAATAATAATAATAAAATTAAAATCAAAATAAAATAATAAATGCGGGCCATATTAAGCTATCTTACAAAGCTCTTCCAATTCCTTAATCACTTAATCTCATTCAAACACAGGCAGAAGCGTTCCAATATCTAAAATCTAATATGATCAATCTTGAAATCTTGATCTTTTCATTTTTTTCTTTTTTTTTTTAATAGCACAATCGAGTATAAGTTAGAATAGAAAAATAAAAAAAAAAGTGTCCCAAGGTATCTCCGAAATGAGCAAATTAAAAATCTACGAGAGAGAGATTTGGAAAATCTTACCTCATGGCCTCGTCGTCGCTATAATCGATATCCGGTTGAGCAGGTGGTTCGTTAGAAAATCCACTGTCGTTGCTGCTGTGAAGGGAAGTCACAGCTTGGGGTGGTGGAATTGGTGGGACAGGTGGTTGAACTCTACGACCACCCGCCAAAACTGTTGGCAATGTACCCGATGGACGGATCTGATAAAAAATAAATTAAAAAATAAATTATTGTGTTTGAATGAAATAACAATTAAATGATTCATTTGTTTGGATTGGTTTTAAAGTATCGGATTATTGAAATTCTCACCGATTTCGATTGGCGAGCTGTTGGAGTAGCCAAATTGTGTGCACTGTTACTGTTAGGTACATTCGTCGGTGTTCCACAGCTACTAGTGTTATTATTATTGCTGTTGCTGTTCATGTTATTGCTTCCAGAACCATGATGACCACTCGATAACTCGTCGATGCTACTCGGTGTGACTGGTGGACGAGAGGGTGGTGGTTTACACGGTGGCACTGCTTGTGGTTCCGGTGTTCGACCATTGCTTGCACCATGACTAGGCGATCTTTTTAACATCATAACAGTTTATAACATAATATTCAATCATATAATATGGAATATTGAGTGAAAGCCTCTCTTACCCTAAACTATCGTCGATAATAACTTCGGTATATGCCAATGGGAACCATCCTGAACTTTGCGTACGAAGATTTTCACCGAATTGCCAACCCTTTTGACGATCACCTAACGACGTTAACGATTCACACATATCAATTTCTAAACTATCCATTTGAAAAGTTATATAGAATTGCAAGAAATGTGACTGGCAATCTTGCCAATTAACGTTAATCACATCCAGTTCGTTCGTTCGTTCGTTCGTTCGTTCGTTTGTTCATTCGTTCGTTCATTCGTTCGTTCATTCGTTCGTTAGTTAGTTAAAATCTACGACAATTCTCGAACAGAATTTGATGGAATTAATGGCGATTGCTGGTAAAATAGAAAAGGGAGGGAAAATTTTCTCTGATCGGATTGGCAAAGACTCACCCATCAGTGCGATGAGATCACCCTCTAGAAAGCTCAACTGATTCTCTCCAGAACTGAGATAAGCGAAGAGTGCTCTTGCGAGTGGTGCATCACCCCAACCACCAGAAATCGGTCCTGTTCCATTGCCACTGCCTCCTCCTCCACCTACACCACCTCCACCTCCACTACCTCCTCCTATTCCTATACCTCCTAGTCCTCCAACACTGTTACGAGAAAGCGGAGGAGCTATGGATCTGGGTCGTGGGGGAGTTTCCGGAACCTCTGCAAACATAAAAAGAACATTCCTGGTAATATCGTTCGTTCGTTCGTTCTAAACTTTACTCGTTCCCCTTAACTGCAAGACCTATTTTCCATCTTTCCTGTTTGTTCGAGGAAATTCTTTTAAAGAGACAAATAAATTCTGTGTTATTAGTATTTAAAATATATCAGAAAGATTCAATAGATTTTATATTATTGTATATTAATTATTTTTAAAACAATTTTATTATATATAATATATAATTTTAAAATATGTATAGTAGAAGTTTAACCATTTAATATGTAATTTTAGATTGAAATATTTAATACTAATTTATCTAGGAATATTCAAATATTATATTAAACTCTTGTATAAATATTAAATATTCCAATAATTCAAACAGTAAAACCATTACACATATCACATTACATTTTACATTAAATCTCGAGTTTTGTAATTAAAAAAAAAAAAAAAACTAGACATTCAAAATGATAATTCATTTATGTTGTAATACACGTATGATCATTTTTTTTTTTTAATGCAAACGAGTAATATTTTGTTCATATTTTTCTAACATTACGTTGGTTTAAGAAGAAACGAGCCATGCATGAAAGAATGATCAACGGTTAGTTCTCAGTATCGTTATGGGGTAAAGAATATGGGATATACATTGAAATGAAGTGAAGGGAAGGGGGTTAAGGAAAAGGAAGAGAATTCTTCGTCGAATTTATGGGCTATTGTATGGTACCTAACAGAAAGGGGGAGGTTAGTCAACGAAATATGCGTTGTGTTAAAGATTCCGTGTGATACGAGGATTTATAATAATTGAAAATCTACGGAAGGGGAATAGATATGACGACAAAGATGAAGAATAAGAATAAGAAGAAGAAGAAGAAGAATAGTAATAATAATATGATAAACGTGAACTGAAACTTTTATCAAACGATTAATTATATAATAATTTAAAATACAGCATGGAAACAATGATATTAAATATTTTTACGCACTGGTCGTAAAAAACGTTTTCACTTGAAAAATATCAATAGTAATCAGAACAAAAAAAGATCTTATCCTATTTTATAATATACATAAATTACGTGTCACGTTGTTTGTCCGCAATGGACTCCTAAACTACTGAACCGATTTTAATCAAATTTTGCACACTGTGTGCAGTTTCATCCAACTTGAAAGATAGAATAGTTTATATCTCAATTTATAATCGCAATATTAGGTAATTCGTTGACTTAAAGACGTGTGTATCGGACTGATTGTGAGCCACAGCAACGCGTGGCGGGACACCCCTAGTATATATATAAAATTTAAAAAATTTGGGATGGTATTAGTAAAATGAGATCATAAAAGAGAGACAAAGATTTATGCATCATTGACTTGAGAGGATATCTACACGAATAGGTTGAAATAAAACATGGAAAGCAGCGATTTTGAATAGCCAAATCCACTCCTCATTTATATATACATATATATATATATATGTATCTGTCTCCCTTCAGGATTCTATTCAAAACTACCCTCCAATATTATCCGCACCGTCTGTGTTTCCAAACGAGTCCGGGTTAAAGAGGATTTTCAAAGGTCAGCGTAATATCGAATATGTGTTCGTCGGATCGTGGAATTACTGGAGCGAAAGAATTACGAGTAAACGCGTCACACACTATGCATACACATATTCATCCATACCACCCCCATATCACCCCCTCCTAAATCTCTTTCTCAAATATATAAACACATACGACTATTAAATGCATACTTGAATTTCTTAATCTACGTATATATTTTCAAAGTGTTTGTTTAATTTTCCACAAATATGTATTATTATTAATAATTATTGCTTATCATCACTCCCGCCCCCCTCCTCCCACCTCCCCTGTTATATAACAATGTATGGATTATCATATTTTTCGAATGAATATATTGGAATGGTAATAATAACATTTCAAACATATTTCTATCTCATTCTTTCTCTTTTACTTGTTTGCTTGTTTGGTTGTGTTGACATGGAATCAACAAAAACAAGTAATTCCACAGTATGATCGAAATCCGTTGGTTGGTTGTTTTATAGAAACAAGATGAAGAGTAGGAGTAGAATGAGAAATATGGGAAGGTGATGGTTGGTAGAAAATCATTGGAACGTCAAATCACTTGACGCAAACAATCGACTGATTTGTGATTCAAACGATATCAAAAAGTATTAAGCGTGAAAATAACGCGTGTGAAATCAGTGAACATTGTAATTCGAAATAACACAAGAGAGAGAGAGAGAGAGAGAGAGAGAGAGAGAGAGAGAGAGAGAAAGAGAGAAAAACGAAAGAGTTAGCAATGGGTGTACTGTTTGATGTTAGTGTTAGTGACGATGGTCTGTGTGTGAGGGTGTGTCTCGGGGTGAGCACAAGTTTTCATGTATAAAAATGTAAAAATGTCTGATGCTATTTGTCCAACATATAGGAAACAAGTATACACATTACATGCACATACACACACACATACATACACTATCTATGCAGGAACAAATACACTGGATACTTGAACGTTTCGGATATTCGCAAATTAGCAGGCTATTTCGAGAGCGTCGGTGGTAAAAAAAAAGAAAAAAAAAGAAAAATGAAACACATGGCAAGTGAGCTGGGAAAATAGAAGAGGTGGAGGAGGAGGGTGGAGGAGGAGGTTGAGGTTGAGGATAGGAGGAAAAGGGGGAGAGGTCACGAGCTTTCGATCGATTTCGTGCGCCGGTTTGTCGGCAATTCGATCGGTAAGCTCTCATAGATTTCTATCTATGTATGTGTATGTGTTTCTGTTTCTATCATGGTGCTTGGTGTTACAGTTCGAGTGGAAAAATTGCAAATTCTCGAACGGTCAGGGCAAATAACAACTAAAAGGGCTCAACACTCGATATACCCACCCTTTCGTTCATGGTTACACCTAACCCAACCCCTTCACCCTGTTCCAGTATGTTTTCTTCTCTCTCTTTCTCTCGTGTGAGAGATAAACTCGTTTGTTTACATCAATGATGACGACGATGGTGATGATGATGATGATGATGATGATGCTGTTCAGTAACGTTACTCATGTCAGTTTTCGTTCTATCCTCTCTCGAAAACCCCACACTCTACTTCTGGGTTTCAGTTCGTACTTTGAAACATTTTCGTTTTATCTGCACGAATGAAATCGCGTTGATTTGTAAGAAATATTTTTTCAAATGTAAATTGATCGAAACTATCTCAAATTTTCTAACTAACTATCATCTTATCGATGTTAAGATAACCCTGAGGCAACCAACTTCTTTGTTCATTCATTTTCGTTCGTGTGAACGAACGTGCAGATCACACATACTAGTAAAAATATTCTTTGGTGTTAGAAAAAAGTGTGTGGTTGTTTTTTATCGAATGTTTTGTAATGGAGAGGTGAAGTGGGGGTGGGGGGGATAAGGGGATAGAAGTAAAAGTTGAGAAAAACGAAATTCGAGAGTATTTTTGTGAAGTTCGTTTAATTATTATTCCTATTTGAAAATAATCCTAGCATGGGTGTTGTTCATCGAAAGAAAAGAGAGAAAGAGAGAAAGAGAGAGAGAGAGAGAGAGAGAAAGAATGAAAAGGAAGGTTTTTGTTCGGTTTGCTTTTAGTTAAAGGTATATTCGAATTACATAGTGCGCAACCGATACATGCCCGATCCCTTCTGAATCCGTAACTGAAGTACTAAAAGCTTGCGCGTCAGATTTCTGTTCGGACCTGCCTATAAATTCGATTACAAGGCTGAAATCTATACCATTGGGCACTGGTCAGTTCGTGCTGATACTTCTAATAATGTTTTAACGCAATCAAATATGCCATGCACGTGGTCTTACAAAGAAAAAAAAGAAAAATAGACAAAAAATAGACAAAAATGTAAAAACAACTCGAACAATTTGATTTTTCACTGATTGTCGAATTGAAAACCGATTGAAAATACTTTTAATATAGTTACTTTTGTTTTTAGAGAATTATTTAAAGGTGGATATACTATTTTTTTTCTTTTTTATGTTTAAATACTAAAATTATTATATTAATTCGTGGATTTTTTTTTATAATATTAAAATTATAAAAATATATTTTATAATATTAAATTAATTATATTAGTTTCTGAAACTATACAACCAAAATTGTTTTTGTTTAAATACTAAAATTATTATATTAATTCGTGGATTTTTTTTTATAATATTAAAATTATAAAAATATAATAATAAAAATATATTTTATAATATTAAAATTGTAATTTTGTTTATAATATAAAATTAAATTATAATTATTGGTTTCTGAAACTATGCAATCGATCAAATTTTAACGTTGCTTGCAAATTCGAGTTATCGGTAAATAAATATATATATATTTTTTTAAATTTGCACCACTATATTAAGATATAAATAAATAAATAATGTAAAAACTAATTTAACCAAACACAATAACATTTACATATATTTTTTTATGGCCCTTTATCTAATACGATATTAAACATAAAATATGAAATCAAATTAGTAAACCCCGTACAAATAAAAATTTCGTATATTATATTTAAAAGATTGGAAGTTATAAAATATAGAGAAAAAAAAGATATAAAAAAAAAGAAATGGATAATTTATTTTTTTTTTACCTGGACCAAGGGATAACGTGGAGGCATGCAAATTGGCCTCCGATCGTGCTCTGGAAAGCACAGCTGGTAAATGCGGTGGTGGTCCGTGATGAGCACTGGAGGGTGTGTTGCCAGATGGTGGACCTAGACGAAGTTCCAAACAAGAACTATCCATGCTTCGTGTTTTCCTCAATTGTGAACTCATTGTTAGTTCTGATCCACCATTTTCTTCGTCCTCTGGCCAAAAAGAAACTTGCTAAAAAAAAAACAACAACAAAAAACACCACGATTACAAATAACATCATGCATTTAATTATCAACGTAATTTGTTTTATGGATTATTCATTAATTATACAATAAATTATTATGACTATTATCATTTTTTATTTATTTATTTATAATAAATATACAAATAAATATGTTATTCATTTATATATATATATATATATTTTTTTTAAATAATAAATATATGAAATGATATTTTAAACAATAATGAATTGTAATAGAGAAAATGATAATATTAATTAATATTATTATTATTTAATATAAAATTAGATTGTTTTAATTAACAATTATTTTCTAAATAATAGTCATTTATTTTTCAATAATATTATATCAATTGTTATATCAATGTATTATGAAATTCTATAATTAATAAGTAAGATTAATTTTTGAGTATGACGAAAGTAGGAAACTGTGTTGGGAAGCGCAACATTGTGTCGATCAATCAATCGTAATATTCTCCCCCTTTCCTTTCTAGTGAAAACTTACCCTAAGTCTCGAGGCGAACATGTCTTCAACAGATTGTGGTAAATATTCACGAGTAGCTGCAACTTCGCGCCATTTGTCAACCGAGGGATGAAGGGCAGCTAGGGCAACTTCGTAAAAACTTGCGCAATGTTTTGCCAAAGAACATTGTCGTTCAAGAACGAATCCGTACCTTCTTCTTTCTTGTGTCATAGCCTAAAACAATAACAACAACAACAACAACAAAAATAATTAACAAATTAAACAAATGCATTTTTATGGGTTAAAAAAATAAATCAAATATCATCAATACCAATGGTAGAACCATGGTGTGTTGTTTGTTAGATTTTATAATACAATAGTCGTATTAATAATTAAAATCCTATATGTTTGATTTATAATAAAATAATCATGACTCTTTGTTAATAAACAAATAATTCGATTATAAATTGAGATATAAACTATGCTATCTTTCAAGTCGGATGAAACTGCACAAAGTGTGGAAAATTTGATTAAAATCGGTTTAGTAGTTTAGGAATCCATTGCGGACAAACAACGTGACAACGTAATTTATATATATATATATTAAGATTTTACTTGAAGTTTATCAATTTACTTACGTTTTTTAAACTTTGTTCACAAAAAGCGTCAAGCTTTGATTTTTCTTCCTCAAGTATTTGCATATTTTTCAATTCCTTGTCCATGGCCAATCCACTTTTACCAGCACCCCTTGATTTTTTCCTTTGCTTTTTCATGGTAGCTGCTGCCTTGCTGTATGTTTCTGATCTGGTCTTGTGTTGTTGCAAAAATTTCTTCTGTTCACTCTGCATATACAGAAATTTCAATCATCAAATTTCAATTCTTACTCTTTTTATTTAATTTTTCCAAAATAATTCCAAAATTTCAACGTGAATTATATTTTAACGGGTTTCGTGCCACGTGTACCACCGATGGGGTACACTTACCATTAGATTTATTTAATACGTTGAAATATTATAATAATAATTAATTATATAATTAAATATATAATTAAAAATATAAACAAATAATATATATTAATTAATAATATATATATGTAATGGTTGATTTTGTTAAAGTAAAATTAAATGGCTTGAATGACATGTCAGGTAAAAAGAGCTTGGCACAGAACGTGTTAAAAAACATGTCAGTAATTTTATTTATTTTTTTTTTTCTCAACGTTTTCCGTTTCTATACTTCCAAGTTCAAAATAAAATTGTTGTCAAGTTCAAAGTCTACTAGTAAAAAAGTTTTCTAATTTGAAAAATAATCAAATGATTTCATCCAAAATTTGCTAATATTATAACAGTTAACAAAATTGATCCCTTGTAAAGTTTTCTTATCTTAGAATAACGTGAAACAATGTTTAAAGTAATACCAAAGTATAGGAGTGTTTTAAAACAACCTATATGTATTTGTTATACATACAGGTGTGTATATATGTATGTGTGTGTGTGTATACTACTCACCTGAACTACCTTCGTGTCTTTCTCCAAGTTCGTTTCTAAGGGTACCAAGAAATCAACGTAGAATGCCTTCAGCTGAAATAGTCAAGAAAAAAGAGAAGGCGTGTTGTTAAGTGGGCTTTCAAAAGTGGAAGAAGAACTTTAATGCATACAGGGAGTAAAAAAAAAGAAAAGAAAAGAAAAGAAAAAGAAAAACGTGACGAGAGTACCACGAGCGACGAAAGCTTAGGTAATGAGACACTTTTACGTTTGCAGACGACAGTGTAAGAAAAAGAAAAAGAAAAAGAAAATACTCCGTCACTCTTGTTCAAAGTTAAAGTTAGGGTCCAGCAGAATCAAACTGGACATTTTTCTCGTCTATTTCTAAACTGACCTACTTTTTTTTTCTCAACAGAGTATGGTACTTCTTATTCGTCTGAGAAATATGACAAAAGCATTGGTGTGATGGTAATGGTAGTGGTGGTGGTTCTATCTGTTTGGCTTTTTTTTGTTTCTTTCTTTTACACTTGGCTTTGAACAACTTATTCGCAATTTTTCTGTTTGACATAGGATTATAAATTTATATATATATGTGTGTGTGTGTGTAGATGGATCTCCCTTTTTAGCTAACATCTTTTCTCTTCGTTAGGAACTTAAATTTTTATCAAGCTTTTCGCCCTTCAAATCTTTCTTTTCTCATCGTCAAATACCCTTTTTATTTTCTTTCTTTTTTTTTTTTTTTTCATACTTTTTATTACGCTCTCAACGAACTCGTTGGAATCAACTGACGAGAGTGGTAAATGAACGGAACGAACGAATTATTGAATTAACTTT